AGCTCAGGCCTTGGCAGGGGCTGCCCAGGGAGCTTTGCAGTGCCCATCCCTGGAGGTGTCCAAGGAAGGGCTGGAGGTGGCACTCAGGGCTCTGGGCTGGGGACAAGGTGGGGATCAGGCACAGCTGGGACTCGATGACCTGGGGATCTTCTCCAACCTCAGTGATTCTGGGATTCCCTGGAGAGGGCACAGAAGGATTGGCAGCTCCCTCCTGGTGGAGAGGGCAGGTGTTCAGACAAACCCAAACCAAGTCTGAGGGACCAGCCATGGCTGAATCATTGCCTTGAAAGCATCCGAGGCCAGGAAAGAAACGATTTGCCCTGAAGAGCTCAGCCCATTGTCAGCTGCTTTGTGAGCATTAGTGAATAATAAGGAGCGAGAGCAGCATTAGCCCTGGGTCCATGCAGTCATCTGTCACGTAACAAGGGGAGTATTGGCACACTGTCATGTTTCAAACAGTGCTGATCAATGGCTTTAAAAAACAAACACTGCAGCCTGGCCCGGGAGCAGCGCTGGCCGGGTGGTGGGGGCTGGCAGTGCCAAGGCAGCTCCTGCCCAGCCGGCCCCCCACCCTGAGCTGAGCACAGCCCCTCTGCTCTGCCTGGGTGCTCATCAGCAGGGAAGGGGCAGTGGTGCAGACCCAGGTGTTGTCTCGGTTTCTGTGGGGCTGAACACATCGGTCCCCAGCTCAGTGCCCTGTGAAACAGCGACTGGGACATTGTGGGCATGCTCTGCGTGGTGAGGGATGTCAGAGTCACGGGCTGTCCAGCTGCTGCAGCCTGGGCAGGGCTGAGGGCTGGAGGTGGGAGAAGCCACGCAGCTGCCATGCTCTGCCTGTCGCTCCATCTTTAGCTGCAGTGTGCAGCCGTGGATGTTTCTGTGGCCAAGAGGGAAAAGGGAACACTCAAGCTTCTGACTGGATTAGACAGCAGGGAAAAAGAGGATTTTGCCCTGGCCAGTGGTGAGCAAAGGTGGAGGCAGCATCTCCTGGTCTGGGTGTCTGAGGGGAGAAAATGAAAGAGCAGAGGAGGCTCTTCCAGAGAGCTCACACTGACAGGTGTTTGGGAAAGTGATATTTTCATATTGACTCAGAGGGGGAGAGGACAAATGGATTGAGGGATGGGAACCCCTCTGCTCCAGACACAAGCCCAGAGGATGTGCCCAAGGAGGCAGAGCTTTGCACCAGCAGGAAGGCGCTCAGCAGAATCCCTTAATGGATTTATTCCTTCAATTTCCCTCAGCTCTTCCAGCCTTTGGATATAAGCAAGGAAAGCAAGTTTAGGCACAGATTATAAAAGTGATGGATCTACAGAAACAGGAGAGGTTTGAAGGGCTGAAATTTACTGCGAAGCCTGGCCCAGAAATGACCCTCTTCCTCCTCCTCGACATTTTTTGTCTCTTGTGCAGAAAAATGCAGCTGGTCAGTGTGACAAGTGGAAACTGGAGCTTTGTCATTGCTGTGCGATGCTGAAACAATGATGTATGGCTGGCGATAGATCATGTTGGGTTTCCGGAGAGCAGCGAAGACGAAGGCATGAGACTAATTCATGATGCATGAACACATTGATCTTCCTGGCTCTGGAAATACAATGTAATGAACCCCCGCTAACAGATCATTTTTGTGCCACTGCACTTCACTAATATCTAATGATTTCACCTTGCTCTGAGATAAAATATAATTGTATGGGAGTTCCAGCTTTGTTCTTTAGTACTCACATAGAGTTAACGAATTATGTTTTCCTCTGTAGCTGTTGGCAGGTTGAGACACGCTTACAAAGGCCCCGCAATTACCAGCTAAGATGCATGTTTAAAACCCCGTGTGTGTGTATGTGTGGTGTGTCTGTGTGTAATGGCTCCATGCATGGAGCTGCTGGGAGCTGAGCAGGGCAGGAAGGGCATGGAGGATGCTGAAATGAGGGTGGCTGAGCTCAGACTCTGGGTCTCACCCATCCAGCTCATTACTGCTGTTTGCAGCATCCCAGCTGGTGGCTGGCAAGCCCAGCAATCCCATTGGAAAGCACAGCTCTCCCTTTATCTCCCAAAGTCCATTTGGAGATCAGCCTGCCCCTGTCTGCCCTCCCAAATCCCCACTCAGGCAAAGCCTTTTCCTTAAGAAGATGAGTTTGGGGTCCTTTTGTGAGCACCCCTGTGAGATCTTTGCACTTGACCTCAGGGAAGGTGCTCACTGAGATTTTCCCAGCTTGTTGTGTGTCTGGAGCAGCCACTGTCTCTCTCCCCAGCCTGTGCTGATGCCCACAGCCTGTCTCTGGTGATGAACAAGAAGGATGCTCCCTGGTGAGAAGCAGGGCAGGTGGAAAGGAGAGGACAGATAAGCACTGAGTCTCAAGATCTTGAGTCTCCTTGTTCTGGTTTGAGGGTTGGTGACCCTGGTGTGTGTCCTGGAGCAGCACCAAGAACGCTCCTGGGCTGTCAGCTCTGGCCAGCAGAGTGCCAGGGCCGGCCACTTCTTCCTCTGCCCCTCCGGCTGTGTTTGCCTTGGCACCTTACCTGTCTGCTGAGATGAGCAGCTTTTCTGGGGCAGGAGTGGTAAACTCCTGTTTGCTGCCCAGCACCTGCTGCAGCTGGGTCCCAGCCCTGGCCATGCCTTTGGAGCTGTAGCACCATGCCAGGAATGAGCTGGAGCGCAGATGGGAGCTGAAGGTGAAGATGTTTGTGAAGTCTTCAAAGTGAGCCCGGCTGGTACAAAAGGAGTCAGTGAAAACCTAAGTGCTCCTGACAGGGAGAGCTGCAGTAACGCTGAACCTCATTTGAAATTCCCTCTAGGCTAAGTAAGGCTCTTCCTTTCATGTGTGGTGTTTGGATCCCTTCTGGGAGACCTTTCCTCTGCACCGTGCTCGGGTACGTGTGGTGTTGACAGATGATTAAGATGTGAAGTCTCTGAAATCAGAGGAACGGCCCCAGTTTTGCTCAGGTGTTTATTCACATTGGTGTAATCATCTCAGCCTCATTTCTGGCTCAGGACTTGCTGCCTCTTGCAGGAATGAGGCACCAGAAGGAAAACCAGTCCTTTACTGGTAGCAGTGCATTTATAGTGGATGGTCCTACTGGATTTGCTGGTGTCCTTAGAGGTCACTTTATGAGGCTCACTTTGTGCAGATGAGGAGCAGAATGTTTTAGCAGACCTGCACTGTGATTTGGGGAGCCAGTGATTGCTGCTTCTGCACCTTTTGGGTGTTTTCAGACTCCAGGGTCAAACAGCACCGCTGGGCTGGAGCTGGGTTTTTGGGAACTTAGGTGGGGCAGACAACACCCATGAGACATCATGTGGTGGGGAAGATAAGGCCTTTGATGGGATCAAGAGAGGGGATTTTTTTTCTCCCAGCAGCTTATATAAAACAAACAAACAAACAAAAAACCCCAAATAATTTTCTGTGGTGCCTGTCTGGAGCGTGGGGCTGGGCTGGCAGTGCCAGAGAGTCCCTGGCTGCTCCCAGCAGATGCTGACACCGAAACCTGTGTGCAGGGATGGTGAGAGGAGCTAACCCCAGCTCTGCTCGAGGACACAGGCTGAGTTCATGAGTGGACTGTGCTGAACCAGTGTTGCTGGTGCTGGAGCCCTCCTCACACAGGGCTGGGGCTTCCCTTGCACTTATTTTGATGTCTTCCTTCCTCCCCTCCCTGTGATCTCGGTGTCTTGACTTTTCCAGGCACTTTTCTCCTATAAGAATATTAAACACACTTAAAAAACACTTAAATGCTAATGTGAAACCTGAAAAGAGGATGTCAAATGCACAAGGCACTCTGAAGACATGATGTCTCTGTAGAAGGGTTTGACCCCAGTAATCTAATTTGCTTTACATTTAAAATGATACTTCATTCTCCTATTATAAGGCTCTGTGTCATTGGCTCATAAAGATTACCATTTCTTGTCTTCCAATTGTAATAAATCCCATTCAAGCACCCTCTTGATTTGAAATTTGTCACGACAACATGCAGAGGGCACAGTTCCTGCATTTTATGGCGCGGGTGCATTAGAGACTCATCTGCAGGAAGGATGATGCAAGAGCATAAAATGATTTGTTCCTTTCCTTTCTCAATTAGATACGTGTTTAAAAAAAAATAATTAAAAAATCTGAATTATAGCTTACTCTTCATTCTCCAGGAGTAAAAGGTTGGGCTGGCAGGGGAGCCAGGCTGGCTGGATTGGCCCTGCTTTACCCTTACACTGGGGAATAATCTGGTTTCTTTAAAACCATCTGAAAATATTTCATCTTGTTTCAGCAGACTGGGGAGCTTTAACCTTTCTGGTTGTGCTTGTTGGAGATGAGAGGAAAGTGAGTGTTTGGAGCCCACACCTTATCAGGCACTAAATGCCACAGTCGTAGCAGCTCCTTGTGCCAAAACATGAGGCTGGATCTGGGGCCAAAATGAGACTTTTGGGTAAACTCAGGTGTTCCAGGGGTGGAAACAGCCCTGCTCCATATCGGGGTGAGGCACAGCAGTGTGTCTCACCCAGCCTGGTGCGAGCAGAGCTGGAGCTGGAGCCAGCCCACTCCTCTTCAGGGCTGGGACAGCAACACATCAGCCATCAGTACCATGGAAATGTTCTTTTTTTTGGGAGGTCTTGAATAAATCCATGCAAGAGACTTTGCTCAGGGAGAACTTTTATACTTCTGGTATCTGTTGCTCCTTAGGGTTTGGGGTGGTTTTTTGGGTTTTTTTTTTAACAAAGGTTTTAGTTGAGCAAAGAATCCCATCTGTATGGCTTTTTTATTAAAAGATAAAAAGCTGGAGTTCACAGGAGTTAGCATTAAGTCACAGTCCGCAGCAATCCGAGGTACTTGCTGGCTGGGGACTCTCTCTGTTTATTTCAAATACCCCTTTATCATCCTGTTGAAAGAGCCCTGTGCTCTGTAAAGCTCAGCCAATTGAAAAAAGAATCAGATAATGAAGACTGATGCTGCACTGATGACAGCCCCTCAGATCTTCAATAGGATTGCTCCAAAATCAAAAGACTTTTGCGTTTTATTGTCACATTCATGGCTCAAAAATAATTAAATGGAATCTTTTAGCTCTAGAAAAAAAAATGAAAATTTAAAAACAGCCCCCCACACCTGCAGGAAAGGGACTAATGGGAATATCCAGTGGGTATGGGGCTGGATTCTGTGTGAATTTGCAGATTGTGCAGATCCTGTGTGAAAATCTGGTGATTGCAGTGGGTGCCCAGGACCTGTGTGGTACAGAGGTGACACCACTGCTCTGGGTGACAGGACTGGGCACCAACCCCCAAAGGTCCCAGCCCTGGTGGAGATGGACAGCACCACCTTCCCTCTGTCCTTGGCACAGCTCTGAGCTTCAGCTTCTGTTTTACCTCTGGAAACTTTGAACAAATTTGTTGCTCATTGCAGTGGAAGGCAGATAAATAAAATATATTGGGAGCGATTTGTGCTGTAACTAAACCCTGAATTTATGGAGGGAGAGCGTGGCCAACCACAACTTTGTCACAGCACATGAACGCCTGGAAATTAGGTTTTGCACTTTTAGCTGGTGTTTAAAGAGGCGTCTCCGGACTCCCCAGGCTGGGGACAGGTGTGAGGAGATGCTCTGTGGTCCCACCGGGGTCAGCAGGAAGAGGGGACATGGCACACCCAGCAAGAGCCGAGATGTATTTCAGGAGAGGCATTAAATCCGAAATGCTATAACTTGATTATTTCTTCTGTGGCCTCCTTTTGACAAAACTCCTCCATTTTCAAAGAGTTACACGGGATTTAGCCCCGCGCCGCTTTCATGTGAATTGTGTGGCTAAAGTTCCATGCAGCTCTTTGAAAATTTCAGAGCTGGTGCTTTCCCCAAGATCGACAACTGTTTTATTTCTCTTGACAGAAAATGGTGAGAGAACAAACACTGCCAGGTGTGGGGGAAGCGGTTTGGTCTCGGTCTCTGCAGCACCTTTCATGTGAGGCTCAAAGAGCCACACGGGAATGGCAACTCCTGCTGCACCTGGACAAGTTCTGTGGGATTGCCCTTTTCTAGGGGGAAAGCTTGGGTGGCTTTGGGTTCTTTTTCCCTCCCTTTGTGGATGTGGGGACCAGCACCTTGGCTCCCTCTGTCCATCTGTGAAACCAAGGAAGGGCAACTAATTGATCATTGGTTTTGTAATCCCACCTGTAAATGGCTTCTACCATAAGTTCTTCTGCAGTGGATGTAATTAGTGTCAGTTATTTGTAATTAGCCACCCCTGGGGTGATGCTGTGTCCCCTAAGACCATTCCCAATGGTGGCAGTGGTAGGACTGGCGCCAGTTTGCATCAGGATTACTCCAATCCCTGGCCCAGTGTGTTGACAGCAGCTGCTGCTCATCCATGGATCTAAGGCTTCTTCCTGCTTCCAAACGCCACTCCAAGCACATCCAAGCCACTGTCCTGTGCTGTGTCACAGGGGGATAGGGCACAAATCGCCTTTATCCTTCTCCTGCCTTTCTCTCTGTGTCTCAAACTGTGGGGCTTGGCTCTGTCTCTGGAATTATACCACAGATTGGAATTCACATTTTTAAGTTCATTTCTGCTCTGATTTAAAGGCTGAATTAACAAACAATGGCTTATTTGGTTTAAAATGCAAAAACACCATCTGGTCCTTGAGATGTGCTAAACCGCAGCGGGGGGAGCCAGAATGACACATGGGAAGGGTCTCCAAGTGGCACGGGTGAGGCTCCCAGGAGGAATTCCTGCCGCTCCTGACCTGTGTCAAGGCAAGGAAAGCTGATCTTTGGTGTGGGCATTGCTACAGCTGCAGCTGTGGCCTGGGGACAGCTCAATTTCAGGGGATGCAGCACTTCAGCCCTCACTGCTGGCAGCTCAGAGCAGTGTCCTGGGAGCTCTCCTCTGTCACGGGCTCCTCTCCTCACCCTGATGTAAAGTTCTGGAGTGGCCTCGGCAGGCTTTGCTGGCCCTTGGGTTTTCCCTGGGCCTCATGCCTCACTCCAGAGCTGGCACAGGGCTTTCCAGCATCCCTGGCACAAGTGAGTCTCAGAAGCGAGTGCCCACTCAGCCAGCAGGACTCAGGGAGTGACTCCATCCCATGACACTCTCGATTACACCCCCGTGCTCATGGCTCAGATCAGTCCCCGTGGTCCTTTGTGCCCCAGCCCCTGTGCCCACGCTCCCACTGCCACTCCCAGCTCCGTGCTGTCCCTGGCTGCTGGTGATTTGATTTGATACAGCTTTCAATCACTGCCAACGGGCCAGCAGCACCACTGCTAAACACTGTGTGACAAATAATCTGAGGCTAAGCTTCCAGGACAGAGGAAATCGCTTTCCTCTTGAAATTAAAGTTGATGCATAATGGAAGGCACTAAGACGTCTCCAGCAGGGACATCACCAGTTTGAGTCCATCCCGAGTCCCACTCTGTCTGCTGAACGAGATGCGGGAGGTTAGGGAAGTCATTTCCTAGAGTTCAGCATTTGCAATTTGCATTCTATAATCTCCCGGCCATTTACCAGCAGATAATTTGTCATGGTTTGCTTTAGCTGTTGTGATATTGATATTTATTATGCAAATTGTATTTCCTACTACTTATTGTCCTCACCCTCAGAATACTTGAATTATTATAAACCTGTTTAGTTAATACGGGTTGTCTCTCAATTGATGTCTGAGCCGCAGCAGGTCGCAGTGTGTGGGGTTGTGCAGGGGGGGCTGCACTGTGCAATTAGGAACAGGCACGCAGGATACCTGGATGTGGGATGGCACAGCAGCCACTGGAGCTGCTCTGCTGTGCTTAGTGGGGCTGGAGCCCTCCTGGAGAGGAGGGGATTTGGGGTCCCAGCATAAAACAAGCGCTTTCTCACTAACTGGGGTGAAGCTGGCTTAGTTATGGAATTCTGATGGTTATGGTGGCCCACAACTCTGCTTGCTGAGCAGAAAAAGATATGTTTGGCAAGGCTATGGAGCAGAAAGGCTTGTCATCATGGGAGACAGAGAGTGGCATGGGGACGGGTGATGCCTCAAACCAAGTCTCAGGCGGCTGCATTTTGGGTTTTCTTGGGTGTGAAACCAGCTTGGTTTCACATTCCAAAGGGCGAAAGCTCTCTCCAGCCCCACAGTGTGACGCAGTGCTTGCCCTGGGCGGTTTTAACCTCAAGCTTGGCAGAATCCAGGATGATAAAGTTGAACTGACAATTCACCTGCCTCAGGTTAACTTGGAATAACCTAATTAATAAGGTTGGGAATATTTGACATCCTCTGCGTTTGCTCCATTAACGCTTGCATGGACCCATTGTCAGCGATTCTACGGTTCCATTCCTGGTGCCGTGGGCGGGGGAAAGCTTGGAGCCTTTCCGGGCGAGACGAATCCCCGGCGAGCCCGGCCGCTCGGTGTGCCGCGTGTTACGGTACAGCCGAGCACTCAGGGCAACGGCAGGGGGCAGTTCCGGAGCTTCACTTGTTCATGTGCTCCGTTTAAATCCGTCGCGTGGGTGAGAAATCCGCAGAAAAGGTGGATTTGTTGCGGGGCTGCGGTTCCCGGGGGCCCGTGGGCTCCGGCCCGTGCGCTGCCCCGGGGCCGCCGAGGCTCAACACCGCCTCCAGCGGCGCGGGGCCCCGGGCGGGCGGCGGAACCGGGAGCGGCCCGAGGGCACGGGCCCGCCGGGAGGACGCAGGGGGGCACAGAGGGGGCACAGACCCTGCGGAACCGCGCGCTGCTGAACGCGGGGTGCTGGGCGGGATCCCCCCGGGACGGAGAGCGCCGGCAGGGGCGCACAGCGGGAGGAAGGACGCCGGGGTGGTACCCCGGGAGGAGGATGCTTCGGGGGGCGGGCGGGGGGCACACGACCCCGGAAAGGCCGGGAACGGGGAGAAAGGCGCGTGTGGGGCGCGGCGGTGCGGGTGGGCGGCGGCGCGGGGCTCGGCCCCGGCACGGCGCTGCCCGGGGTCGGGCCCGGCGCGCTCGCAGCCGCCCGCGCCCCCCGGGCCGCGGGGCGGAGCGCGGGGCGTGCCGCCGAACCCCCGCCCCGTGACGCGCCATCTCCCGCGGGCGGTGCGCGGCGGCGACAGAGCGAGGCAGGTGCCGGCGATGGCGGGTCGCGCCCAGCCCAGCGGCCCCGCGGGCAGCGGCGCCCCGGGGCTCCTCCCGCTGCTGCTGCTGCTGCTCTCCGCCGCCGCCATCATCCCCAGAGGTAGGAAGGACGCGGGGTACCGGGGCGGGCGGTGCGGGGAGCGGGGGTTCGCGCTCGGGCATCGCGGCGGCGCTCGGGTAGCCCCGGTTGCGGCGGGGCCGGGGCGAGCCCGCCCGCTCTCCGTGGCCCCGGGCCGTGCCCGGAGAGTGCGGAGGTCCCGGGGAAGCGCCCCCGGCGGTGGCGGCGGCGGGCGGGCTCACCCGCGCGTGGCGGTGCGGAGCGGGCAGCCGCTGCCGGTTTCCATGGAAGCGGCTTCTCCCTCTGCTCGGGGGGTCATCGGCGGCCCCGCAATTAAAAACTAATTGCTTTGCGCGCCCCCTCTATCCTCCCCTCTCCGCCCCCCCGGTGTTTGCGGCGGCGCGGGGATGCTGCACCCCTGCGGGAGCGGGGAACCTGTTGGAATCTGAGTGGAACTTGCGCGACGCTTCGCTCTCCCTCCTCCTCTCCCTCTTCCTCCCTCGCCTCCCCTCTCTCTCGTTCCTCTCCTCTCTCCCCCGGTGCCCCCTGCCGCAGCCGCGCCCCCCGCCTAGCTGGGCGCGCTGGGGGCGATCGCCCGGCTCGGGCGCTGCGGCTGGAGCGGGCGCTAATAAAATGAGGCTAACAACGCGCCCTGAGCGGGGCCAACTAGGTCCTCTCCGCGGCACCCTCGGGTTTCGGTGTCCCCGGTGCGTTGGGCGAGCCCCCCACCCAGCCTGCCTTCGCTCCCCGCCGAGCCCGGGAGCCGCAGCAGCGACCTGCGCTCGTGTCCGGTGGCTTCGGTTCGAACATCCCCCGTTAACGCCGTTCACGTTTCCAGTATGTCCGTGGGGCGGCACCGGGCCACCCGGCCGGAGGAGCGGTGCTGTGTCCGGGATGTTTGGGAAGAACAAGAGGCCATTGAGCGATCTGTTGAATCCCGCTCGTAGGAAAGGGGGGACGAAGGGGCCGCCAGCCCGGCGAACAAAGAGCTTTATTCACAGCCTGTGTGCATGTCCATGCCTTCCCCGCT